TATAATTTTTTTTGGTTTTGCTTAACTTTGTTGCATTGGTTAAAATGCAAATTGGGTCTAGAACAATAACTATATCTACACTGGCTACAAAATTGGTGTAGAAAATCATTTTTTAACAACTATGAAAATGCCTTTTCACAGTGGTGACGAAGAGAACAAAAGAAATGTTTTTAAGTAAATGTTGATGGAGAAGTTAATGGTTCAACCGTCAACGTGTTACTCAAGGTAATGACCAAATTAAAAATCTATAAAAGTAACTGATGAATTAGAGCATAAAGACTTATTAATAAGGTCTTGCTTGATATTAGGTGAAAGTTTGTACTGTTTATTGTGTCATTGTTTATTAATATTTAATATTACCTTATCTTAATCATTTGTTTTTAAAATCAGAAATTCTTGTGGCAGATTAGGATGTGTGATGAATATTTTAGGTTAGGATCACGTTCCACACGTACTGCGTGAGTGGTCAAAGACAATAAGCATTTCAATATGAGAACACTCCCAAAATTTTCTTATGGAAAGAATAAGAGAGTATTATTAGGCTCAAAATAAGACCATAAATCAGGGCTCAAGTACTTTATAATAAGGACGAAGAAAAGAAGGCTCTATAGAATAATATATACTATTACCGTGTAAGTGAAGGTAATTTGATCCAATAAGATTTTTTTTTTGCCTGAATCCAATGAGATTATTGAAAGCATCAAACAACGGATGTTCCACATTTCTCATTAGTTTACAACGAAATTGAAGTTTTTTTTAAAAAAAAAAATCCAAAAAAATGATTGTTAAATTTTAAAATTTCAAATCAGGAATTATTACAACGCATTTTTGTAATAATTCCTTATTTGAAATTTTGAAATTCAACTTCTACAAATGATAAATAATAAGATCAGAGTAATAGACATTATAGTCAGAGTGTAGTAAGAGACTAATGAGAGAGGAAAGATTACGCCATCCGGTATTTATTACAAGCACTATATCCATCGCATTTCCAAAAGTCACTATAAATTAAAGGTCCAAAATGACTATCTTTATATCAATTCATATTTTATACAAGTCATGAATATTTTCAAATTTTATGTCATGCACGAGGAAAACATGTATAAAAGTTGATGCGTTTATAAAGGGCAAGCGGGTGAAGGAGGAAGTATTTATTGTTTTCAAAGTACTAAAAACACCTGTCATTGAATTAATTGATACGGTAGTTTAAGGATCAGTGGCTGACCTAGAGTCAATTCAATCATAATTAAAATAATATAATTTAATTAAAAAGGAATATTATTTAAATATAAAAACACTAACTCAAAAGTAAATAGAACGTTTATGTATAAGCCACATGTAATCCAACCAACAAAATACAACTACTAAAATTAAAAAAACGACATATTGCAATTTTAACTTTTTTTCTAAAACTCAAAAGGATGCCGTTTTTAGCAAAACAAAAGATGAAAAATTATAAAACCCAACCAGATCAACTCGTCCAAAACTCTTGATTACAGCAGCTGCGGAGTAATTCATGAGTTGCTATTTTTTCCTTTTCCTTTTCAAACTTAAAATGATGTCATTTTAGTCTCATATAGTGAGGAAAAATATAAAATTTGACTCAATCAACCTATTCAAAACTGTTAATCGGACTAATCCGAGAATAATTAGTTGATTCACTGGTCTGACTCGCTAACCTGAGTTAAGTTTTCGTATCATATTTTTTCAAGTATGAAGTAAGAAAAGTTGCCTTATAAAAAGGAAGCAAATGAGTATGTGTGTGTGTATAAATTTGGGGGTTTATCAAAATCATAGCGTTGTATATCTCATTAAGATCTAACATATTATTCATTGCACACAGGCATACATAGGCCCTTAATTAGCTGACAGATTATAATTAAGCTCAAACACATAACCCAACCACAAACACGACGCTTCATAACCTAGCTATTAGCAAGGTTTTTGTCCTTCATAGTTGCCAGGAGGATCATAGTTGCAGCCAATGAAAGTGCCTCCATTGTCACACCTCACTTTGGCACAAACAACACGAATTGAATTCTTCCACACCACCTGAGTATAGTGCCCGCACTGCCCAGCAACGCACGAGTTGCTATCGTAGTCATAATTTGCCTTCTCCTCAACCCACATCTTTACGGCGTTAATGCCGGTCATGTCACCGGAGCTCCATGCGATGTTCTCCCCCTACTGGCCATTGGAGCGGACCATCTGGCAGTCAGCCTTGCGTTGGGTAGCATAGTTCTGTGGATACGCTGAGACAGTATCATCCCAAGCTATGTTTGGAACACCCACTTGTGATCTTGCTGCGTTGTGGACATTCACATAGTCTTGCGGTGAGTTCTGAGCATGGGCCATGATGGCAAAGAGGAGGAGGAGGAGGAGGAGGAAGAAAGAAAATGGAAGCTTGGATGATACCTCCGTTGTTGAAGCTTGAGGTATTTGATACGATGATGAATAAATGTTTACAAGTCAATGATGATGGAGGGGTATTGGCATATAATTTATTCTGCCTTCGACGTGTTATTGAAAGTAATAATTGGATAATCCATACGTTGTAGAAAATAAGCTCAATCTTTGAATTGTTTACGGCAAATTTGTTATAAGCATGGAAATATTAACACGCCAAAGTTTGACTGACTTCCGTCAACCTTCTCCGTCATCTTCATCAATTAACCTCCCTTTAACGTTCACATTCCGTGCATCCATTATTGACCCCTTTAAGTCTAATTTACTTTCCAATCAATAAGTATATTTTTAAAATTGATATCCAATAAACGTTATATTTAATTTTTTATTTTATATTTATCAAAATTAAAAACTAAAATATAATAATAAAATAAAAATTGAATTTGGGCTTGATGAAAATTCATAATTTCTGCGATAGAAGTTGATCTCCCTTGAAATATTATTGAAGACAATCAAATAGTAGAACACCTCTAATTACTCCCCTGTTCTAATTATAAGTCTCAGTTTTTCTAAACACGTATATTATACAAAAACTATATATATACATATATATATATATATATATCAAGGTCATGTTTAAAATATTGTTTTTATCCTTTTCGTTTATATATATATATATATATATATATAACTTAGAGTATTGTCAAGTCACTTTAGGCTTGAGATTAATCTTTATCAGGTTGGAAATGTTAAGATTAAAATCCTTCCAATAAGTGCACTTCCTAAAAAGTATCCTTTTCATTTCTGTCCTCTGACAAATACCACTATTTTTATGCTTCCTTGGCCTTCAAATTAATTTAATGCCGTTATTTTAATGGATATTTTAGGGAAAATGCTTTAATTGACTTAGAAATTTATACTGAAACATATATTTGAAAAGAAAACTAATAATTATATTTTGGGACAGAAGGAGTAATGAAATTTCTTTTATAATGCATTTTTCAATTATTAATAAGAACTCTTACTATTTGTTTTGGTACTCGGTGAAAATTGGAAAATCCAAAATCCCAAATTAAATATATTTTAATTATTCACTTTGGTTTTGCTCACCCCTATTATTCTAGCGGAACTACCATTGATGTTCTGGTTGCATTAGTCATTTAGTTGGACCATTCAAATTTTAAAGCAAATAATCGATAACCACTGATTTTTATTTTTCTCTTTTGATATGAATATACAAAGGATTTGTTGACCAAAAAAAAAAAAAGAATATAGAAAGGATTTAGCTCCTTCCTCACGTAAAGGAAAATGCTTCCGCACTTTCCATGAAAATACAGAGCTTTGAGATTCTAAAATATATATATTTTTAATTTCTAATATTAAAGGACAATCTTTTGGTTACTCGTCAATTGAGAAGCGGAAGACGACGTTGATGATGATGGTCGCTCAGGTTCAAGGTTGCGGCCGCTCTGCCTCTCGTCTCCCTCTTCTGCGATGATGATGATGAATGGAATGGAGGTCGTCGGCGGTGATGGAAGGAACGGAGATGGTCGCCGATCGGTATGGGTGTGAGAGAGATGTGGCGATGGTGAATGGAAGAGGAGGTGAAGGGTGGAGGTTGATGGTTTTGACTCCCTGGCCGTCCGCTCTCCTCCTTCCCCCACGCCCCCCAAAAAAACACCCCAAAAAAGAATAATATCAGACTAACCTAATGTTTTTTTTATTTTTTATAAAACAGTGCGCTCCATCAAGCCCTTCAGTGTCAATATTACTGGTCCTCTTTTGTAATTTCGCTAGTCTTTAATTGTCTTTTTCACTTTCAGCTCTAATTTTAATTTTCCTGTAATGAAATTCAAGATAATATAAATACCATGCATTGTAAAAATCAAATCAATTCAAACAAATTATAAAAATATGATAATTTTGCCCTTTTGAGCTCTATCTTCATGCAAACACTTTTAATTTAAATTAATCATAATAAATATAATCAAGCCCAATTTAATTAATAAAAATCCCAAACAAGATATGAAAAATCATGATAAAATAAAGATTTATCAGTGACCTAAATAGGAATTTGGGTTAGTCAAGTGACTTTTTAAGAGATTTTTACAATTACAATAAATAAATTGAATGTGAAATAATAATAATAATAATAAATCGTAAAGATTCAAAATTAAAACAAAAGAGTTGCCTAAAGCAAAATTGTTGAATGATGGGATGTGAAATAGAGTAATGATTAATTATAATTTTTAAATATTCCATATTTAAAAAGATTTAAAAATATCTTGTTTATAATTTTGATTTGACTGTTATCATTTTTATTAATTTTAATTTATACTTAACTTTGAGATTCTAAAATATTTTGTTTTTAATTTCTAATATTAAAGGACAATCTTTTCGTTACTCGTCAAATCATGTCGGTATCTTTCTAATAAACCGGTCCCCATTTCACACAAATTTGAAGATCGGGGTGAAGCAAACCCTAATCACGGGAAAGAAGAACCAGGTAAGCGAAAATGGCCGTAAAGAGGAAGCGTTCTTCCCAATCGAGAGCCCTGACGCGCATGAAAACAAAGGGCAGCAAACCAGTTCTTCCCCAAGATGTCATCACAATGATTCTCGTACGGCTTCCGGTAAAATCCCTAATCCGATTTCAATGTGTGTCCAAAGAATGGAAAAATCTATTCAAAACCCCATCTTTCATCGCAGAACACCTTCAGCACTCCACACACCAAAACCCTCTTCTTATTTTTGAAGATTTTGATTTTTATGATCGTTTTCGCCTACGTTTGCTCAACCGTGAGATGCGAGTCCGTGATGTTCAGACCCATCCCCGTATCAATTCTAGACACTCTTTTGTTTGGGCCGTCAATTCTTGCAATGGCTTGATCTGTATTGTTGGGTTGCTCCATCGTACGCAATCTCTTTCGATTTTCCTGTGGAATCCAGCGACTAGAAAGCTGAGAGAGGTGCCTGCTGGAGATTATGATTTGTGGGTGATTGTGTCTTTGTATGTAGGATTTGGATTTAGCCCAACTCTTAATGATTACAAGATAGTGAAAATTCGTATGAACAATCTTTGGGTTATTAATGAAGTGGAAGTGTATTCATTAAATAAAAGGAGATGGAAGGAAGTAGAACTGGGAAGCTTAGATGGTGTAGCTGTTACTTCGCATGGCTTCACTTTTAATGGAGCTATCTTTTGGATTGGATCAAACCTTGGCGGCAGCATCCTGGTCTCATTTGACATAGCAACAGAAGTGTTTACATTGATACCGATGCCTCCTATACGCCTTTGGGGTACTCGTACATATAGCCACAAACTTACAGTATATGATAACAAGCTTGCTATGCTATTTCCTGAAGGAGATTCGGTTCATTTGTGGGTGATGGAGGAGGGTTCATGTGCATCCAGGGAGAAATTGCGTTGGACTAAGAAATATGCTAGCCGCACATTTGAAGGCCCCAGGTTGTTCCCATTGACTACTATTTGGAGGAATGAAATTGTTTGCAATACAAGGGAACTGGGTGTGGACAAACGACCAATTGTTATGTGGAATGTCACAACTGAAGAATTTAAGTTGTTAGATATCCGCAAATTTGGCTTGACTAGTTTCAGAGGTGGCATTTTTAATTATGCAGAAAGCCTTGCACTCATTGGCAATTAACTTGGACGTCAAATAGCTTATTGGGTTTTAAATCTTGATTGTTATATTTCATATTTACCTTGTTCAAGCACTTTTGGAAGAGTTGGTTCATTCTGTAACTATGACCCTTCCTGTGCTTAGAGATTTTACTAAGAATGATGACTGCAGATATGCAACAACGGATGTTTGTAGCTTTATTTGACTTATCTATTTATTCAGCTTTCTTTCAAAGTTGGACGCATATTTTAGTTGCTGCCGTGCGGTTTATTTGGGGCCTTTTGTGATTAACTGGTTTGTGAATTTCGTTAGGTATATACGTAGTTGTCCTTCTTACTTTTTGTGCTACGTGATCCCTCCGAGAATAGCCTTTCCACTTCTCTTTCCTTCTATTTCTGTTCACTTCTCATCTTCAACGATAAGAGTGAAATTTTAACGGTAGATTTCATATTTTATAAAATTATGAATAAAATTTTAAATTTATTTAAAAAATAAATAAATTAAACTAGTAAATTTTAGTCATGATAATTTAAAAGAATCATCAAAAAATATTCTGTAAAATTATTTCAAAAATATAAAATATAAACTGTTCATATTTCGATCTTAAAAGTTGAGTGATAAGTGGATAGAAATAAACAGAAAGGGAAGTGAAGAGATCCTTTTACCGATCCGTTCTTATATTCAATCTTTGTTCCTTGATTCTTTTTTCAACGAAGTCTATGATCAAATAAAAGCACATGGAAGGAAGTAGAATTGAGGAAGTTCTTAGATGGTGTAACTATCACTTCAAATAGCTTCACTTTTAATGGGGCTATCTTGTGGATGATGACGACATTATAGTCTCGTTTGACATAATAACAGGAGTGTTTACATTGATACCAATACCTCCTTTACCCTTTTTGGTTTCTCGTAGACCATTTGGCAAACCTCTTTTTGTAAAAGATCCTACAGTATATGATAACAAACCTGCTATGCTATTTCATACTTTGAGTGAAGACCTCGAATCGTCTTTGATTCACTTGTGGGCGATGGAGGAAAGCACATATATGTGCATCTAGGGAGAGATGGTGTTAGACTAAGAAGTATACTAGCCGCCCTTTTCGCGGCCGCTTGTTGGATCCGGTGACTATTTGGAGGAATGAAATTGTTGGCAATGCGTCTGCTAGAGGAGAATCTCTCCATTTAATTTCCTCTCTACTTTCTCTTCATTTATTATTTTTATCATTAGATTAACATCCAACTGTTGAGATTTAATATATTATAACAATATTATTATAATAGCAATCAAATAAAAATATATACATATATGAGTAGTGAGAAATTAATATACAGACGTTCCTTCTATAGATTTTTATTAAAATATTTTATAATTTTTTTTTGTGTTTTGATCCTGTGCTGTCTGATTATAATAACATCATAGTATTTATTTATGCATAAATTAAAGTTATTTATATATAATTTTATTATTTAATATTATATAATATATTAAATCTCAACCATTAGATATTAATCCAATGGTACAGATAGTAAATGGAGGGAAGCGGGGAGAAAGCTAAATGGAGCTTTTTCTCCCCCCCCCCCGGGGGAGGGCTTGGATCTAAACAAACTGATTGACGAAAAACTTTTATGTTCAATTTCACAACTAATGAATTTAAGTTGCTCGATATCCGAAAATATAGACATGGTTATGATATTTTCAATAATGTAGAAAGCGTTGTACAAATTGGCAAGATGGACGTTGAATAGCTAATTGGGTTTTACATCTTGATTATTATATTTACTTTGTTAGAGCAATTTTGGAAGGATTTGGTTCATCCTGCAACTATATGAGGCTTCGTGTCCGTTAGTGATTTTATTTGACTTATCTATGATATCATATATCAAGTTATCCAGTTTCTTTCAAAGTTGGAGGCAAATTTTAGCTGCTGGTGTGTGGATTTTTTGGGGATCTTTACATATTCGGCTAATAAATATACCTGTTATTCTGCGTACTATGTGAAGGAAGAAAAGCAAGCGAAGCAAGTGTAATTAAGTTTCTTGCTTCTTTTTTCTTTTTTGTTTAATTTCTAATGGGTATATGAATTAAATGAACTAGTTTGTGATCTTGGGTATGTACGTAGTTGTCCTTCTGACTGTTTATGCCAGTTTGTAAAAGAAGATCATGGAAATAACAGGAGATCATAAGTTCTTGGGTCAATGACAATATTCTAATTATTATCATCAATTTTTATATCTTGGCTGTGTATTATATATAAAGTGCAACTTACTAGATACACACCATTAATCTGGATTTGAAAGTTTTGAAAAGGTAGTTTTATGGTAAACACTTTGTATTTTCCCCTCTTCTGCGTCGTCTTCTCCCATTAATCTGAAACTCTCTCACTTGCCCTAATATCCAAAACTAACCGTCTGTGTTTATTTTTTAATATATTTAAATGTTATTTCTTGTACATGTTTTATATACTAGTACATGTATATAATATAAGTTTATTTAATTACTATATTATTGGTTAGACTGTTAAGCTATAAAAACTGTAACCTGATGCTAGTTATAACCTTTCCAGTTGGATATCCAAACTTTACTTCAAAAGTGTGTTTTTGCTTCTATATTATTTGAATCATAAAACTAAATAAATATATATATATATATATATATAAATAATTAGAAAAACCGGTCCCACACGCTCTCTCTAGTTGTGTGTGATGTGTCTCTATCAGGATCACATGCAAGATTATTTATTGAGACCGCAATGTTAATTTGTCGTTGACAAGGAAACGTTTCAGCTAGGTTTCTTCATGACCACTTGGACCTATTGACTCTACTATATGTTAACTCCTTGGCCTCGGTTTTCATATATACTCCTATGATCTTATTTTTAAGACATTTCTAATACTACTTTCAATTTTTAATATAAGAGCTAGTTAACTAGTTTGAATAGATTAAATAAACTAGTTAAATTAGTTATTTGTAATAAATGGTCATTGTCTTTCATAAAATATCTTTGCTAACAAATATATTGATTATAACTACCATTATTACAAAGGTTATCTTAAAAAAAAAAAGATAAATATGAGAGATAAAATGAATTGGGATCTTATATTTAGGATAAAAAAAAAAAGTCAAATGAACTTCTATATTAAGTAACGGAGGTAGTATGTTTTATACACACTAAGAAAAAACATAAACCATATTAACCTTTCTTGAAAATATAACAATTTTTTTTACTTTATCTATATTTAATATATATACCTTTAAAAAAATTACTATTTACATTATAATTAATAAATGTCAAAATAGTACATTTATGCTACTACTTAGAAAATTTTTCTTTCTTTTGCCTTATAATATAGAACCAAAGGAGTAAGTTACAACCAATGAAATCAGTCACAACTAATAAATTCAGCTACGTCAAAATGTTGGCTAATTAAAATTAGTTAAAAATAATAAATATGCAATAAATGAATATTTTGTTAAAGATATACCTTATTTGTGAAGGAAGTGAGAGAAATATGAGTGGAAAAAATTGAGTCTAATAGTTTATTAAATAAGAGAAAATGAGTAATAGTTAATATACGGTCATACATTTAATGGGAATAAAAATTATAAAAAAAGACAAAAAAATTTCAGCCAAAACAATAACTCATATAAAGGATCAGTAGTTATGTATGTATGTATGTATGTATGTATGTATGTATGTATGTATGTATGTATGTATATACATATATCTATATATATAGGAGGAAGTGTATCATACTTTTCTTCATGTCATTATCTTTTATGTGATGACCCCGACCCATGCAGAAGAAGGAACCAAAGACTTTCAAAGAACCCACCATAACCTTTTTCATACGTTTGTTCATGTGTCTCAATCACACATGACCGTCTGCTTCCGCCATCTTTGCTAGTTTTTTGACAATTGAAGTTTTGCACCCTCACTGGTCTTCATAGATGACCACCATGAAGCTCTCTCTGGCTAAAGGGCTAACTCTGATCATTATTCCACTTTTCCTAATTCTCTTTCTCTTCTCTTCTTCTTGTCACTCCCTAAACAGAATAACCCCAGGCAAGCCTTTTAAAAACGGCGACGTTTTGGTCTCCGACGGAACAACCTATGCCCTTGGTTTCTTCACGCCCGACAAAAATTCCAAAAACAGCTTCGTCGGAATCTGGTACAACCAAGTTTCAGAGCGAACCCTTGTCTGGGTTGCCAACAGAGGCAACCCTCTTAATGATCCTTCTGGAATTCTCTCAATCGACATTCATGGGAACATCGTTCTTGTTGCCAACCATACGAATCCAAATCCGATTTGGTCTTCCAATGTTTCACTCTCGTCGTCATCATCTCCCACTAAGACCTTCGCGAAGCTTCTAGACACAGGAAACTTGGTTTTGGTCGAAAATAATGGCACAAGTAAGGTTCTTTGGCAGAGTTTTGATTATCCCTGCGACACCATGCTTCCGCTTATGAAACTCGGATTGGATAAGAAGACCGGACTGAAAAGATTCCTTACCTCATGGAAATCCCTTGACGACCCGAGACCCGGAAACATGAGCTATAAGATCGACCCGAGAGGCCATCCTCAGTTCTTCGTCTACAAAAGCGAGGACCCCATCTATCCGGTTGGGTCTTGGACGGGTCAAAGATGGGGCGGAATACCTGAGATGATCCCAAACTACTTCATCTTCAACGTTAGCTTCGCGGATGATGCAAATGAAACGGGCATAATGTACAGTCTCAACGATCCTTCAGCGTTATCAAGAATGGTTCTTGATAATTCGGGTCACTTGAGCCGATACACGTGGCAATCCGAAGGCCATATATGGCAGGAAATCCTGCACATTCCAAGAGATAATTGTGACCATTATCGGCGATGCGGGTCAAATAGTTACTGTGACTCGTATTATGTTGTTGCAGACAAGTTTCAATGTGTGTGCTTGCCTGGATTTGAATCCGAAAACCCAGAAATGAGAAACGGGTCGGGTGGTGGGTGCGTGAGGAAGAAGGATGTGTCCACGTGTCAAAGTGGGGAGGGATTTGTGAAAGTAGCACGTGCGAAACTACCAGATACATCAAAGGTAGAGTTGGATGATAAGAGCATTGGCATGAGCTCGGAAGAATGTAAAGAGAAGTGTGCGAAGGATTGTTCATGTGAAGCATATGCGAGTGCAAATGAGGTCACACTGAGAGGCTGCCTGACGTGGCATGCTGACATGGAAGACATTAGGATATTTAATAGTGTGGGTCAAGATTTGTATGTTCGTGTGGATGCAGTTGAATTAGGTACAATTCTTATATTCACTTCTTTTTATTTTATTAATTGTTTGCCTTTTAAATTCAATTCATGTTTTAGACGTATGATCATTATTCCTCTAGCTAGTTCATACAGCCTTCCAATTCCTAATATAAGAATTAGATAACTCATTTATGGAGATTAAAAAATTAGTTAAATTAGAGTTATCACTCCTTTAGTTGATACTTTTTCCAATCACACTTGTTATTTTGTTATTATTGATTGTTAAAATATGCATATGTACTTATAAATTTATCCATCAATACTTGTAGTTTTTTATCAGCTCTCATTATGTAAATTAGATTTGTAAATTTTCATATTAACACTTGTTATTTATGTGTTATTAGCTTTTAAAATACATGCGTCCTCATAAATTCACCTATGAAATATGGATACTTATTATTTTGCTATTATTTATTGTTAAAATGTGTATGTGCACTTATAAATTTGCTTATGATTTTGACATAATAAATATAATCAACTTGACCAAATTTTTCTATAAAAAAAATTTTCATATTTTCCAAACTGCAAAATATAATATTATGGAAATTTTGAGGAAAATGAAAAGTCCCTGATTAACAGATTAATTAATAAATGGTTACCTGGAATTCAAAGGAGCGTAAGTACTTGATGTGTATATAAAAAAAATATAGAAAATATAATTTCAGATATCATTTTCCGATTAATTTTTCAATCAGAGACTTTTTCTTTCCCTAATTTCCCCAATAAATTATTCTTATAGAAAATTTCAATGGTATTGTCTTCTTCAACATATCATTCTTATCTCTGCAGCTAAATATGAAAACAAGCCTCATAGTTCTCTTGGCAAGAAGGGGATGGGCGCACTAGTCGTTTCGGTTTGCCTCTTAATGTTGGTGATCACTTTTGTGTATTGGTTTGCAAAGAAGAAGAAACAAGGTAAGCTAAATTTTTATGAATTTGTCAAAAAAAAAAAAGATCACTTTTCTAGGGCAGCTGAATTATATTGCACTTGATCTTTTACCATTCTTTTAATATACAGCGAGAAGAAGGCTTGATGGAAATTTAGTTGATAGAGGAAATGGTTCGGATTTATCATTGTTCAATCTAAGTGATATATAATTGCAGCAACTGAGAATTTCTCTGATGCAAACAAGCTTGGACATGGTGGTTTTGGTTCAGTTTATAAGGTAGTCATTCACTGGTAGTTGGTCTTAAATTTCACGAAGTTGAGATGAACATCATTTTTAATTCAATGGCATTAATATTTTTTAAAAACCATGTCTTATATGTAACACTTAATGGGAAAAATTGAAGTAATATTTTTGACTTCAGGGTATACTCCAAAATGGAATGACTGTAGCAGTGAAGAGGCTTCACAGCATTCTGGACGAGGCACTGAAGAGTTCAAAAATGAAGTTACTTTAATGGCAAAGCTCCAACATAGAAATCTGGTAAAGATTTTAGGTTGCTGCATACAAGGAAAAGAGAGGATATTGTTCTATGAATATTTGCCAAATAAAACTCTGGAGATTTTCATTTTTGGTACGTCTTCTTTCAAGAGCTTTTGCATAAGTAATAGTGAAACTTTCTTCTTCTTGTTTTTTTTTTTGGTTGTTGTTCTATAATATCAAAGTTTATCAAGTGTTCTTCACTTTTGATAGTTTTAATATTTTGTTCAGATCAAGCAAAGAAATTGCACTTAGACTGGAGCAAACGATTTGATATCATTTGTGGTTTTGCAAGAGGAATCTTATACCTTCACCATGATTCAAGATTAAGGATAATTCACAGAGATTTGAAAGCTAGTAATGTCTTGTTAGACTCTGCATTGAATCCAAAAATTTCTGATTTTGGCATGGCTAGAATATTTGGTGGAGACCAGATTGAAGCAAACACAAACAATGTTGTTGGAACCTAGTAAGTACTCAACAATGCAAAACACCACTATTTTAAAGTAGAATGAATTTTGTAACATCTGATAATCTTTTCTAATCTATAGCAGTTACATGTCACTTGAATATGCAATGGAAGAATTATTATCAACAAAATCTGATATCTATAGTTTTGGAGTTTTACTTCTTGAGATTGTTAGCGGAAGAAAATGTAGCAGTTAGTATGATGATATTAGCCATACTTTGGTTGGACACGTAAGTATATGTCTATAAGAATCAACCACTTAGAAATTAAAAATTTCTCTTCAACAATCTAATAACCAAATTCCTTTGATAAATCCAGGTTTGGGAAATGTGGAGAGAAGGTAGAGCAAGGGAGATTCTTGACCACCATTAAGAGGTGAGACATGTCTTGAACAAGTTATAAAATGCTTAAATATCGGACTTCTATGTGTACAAAACTATGCAATAGACAGGCCAACTATGTTAGAAGTCATTCCCATGTTGGATAATGACACAGTTCTTCCACCTCCTGAACAACCAGGATTTATTTTCAAGAAAACTACTTGTGATCAATCAAATCCATTTGCTGCTGAAGAATTTATTTCGTTAAATGGAATGAGTACTTCAGAAATTGAAGCTCGCTAAAGGCAATGACTCTTGAAACATTCAATATACTTGAATATGCTGAGATCTTGTGTAGTTCTGTTGCTTGTATGGATATTATGATTATTATGATTTTATTATTATGAAATTAATTATTTTTCCTTCTTCCATATTTTTCCATTTCATGCAAACATAAGAGAAACAATAATGTGTTATAGGTCAGCTGGACACATTAACAAGTAAAAATTCTAAATTGATAAGTCAGTTCAAGTGTTAACAAGTATTTTTCTACACATTAATAAGTGACCCTTGAAAAATAACAAGTTCAATTAACGTTCAAGTTTTAACTAATCTTTCATCTGAGCGTTCAAGCACACTAACAAGTGATCCTTACAAACTGACAAGTAAAATCCATTGAAATGACAATTTCATTACAACTGAGTTCACACATTAACAAGTAAAAAGGCTTTAGATTGACAGGTCTGAGCTCACATTTTAACAAGTATTTATTGCTTGCTATGATAGACAAGTTTGCAAACTAAGGGACAATATAACAAGAGGCTTTAGTTGCCTGACGATTAATATCTTTTTGGTGAGTTAAAAGGGTCATGGATTTAAATTTTCCCATATCATCTTTGAGGATTTAATTCGATGCTACTATGGGAGCTAGAGGAAGTGGTGGCTTTCATTGCGGCGAATAAGGATTCTGGTCATGACGAATACAAACAGTGACTCGCAAACACTAAGGTGGTATCTCAGCAAAATTGGATAGA